CCAGCTCACCCCTGCCCCGCCTCCTCCCCGAGCACGCTGTCGCTGCTTCACTTCTCCTACCTCCCAGGCTTGCGGCGCCAATCAGCTTAGGTGCCACAAGCCTGGGAGGCGGGAGAAGTGAAGCAGACACGGCGTGCTCGGGGAGGAGGCGGGGCAGGGGTGAGCTGGGGCGAGGAGTTCCCCTGCATGCTGCCCCCTGCCCCCCTTGCTGCAGACGGCCCTCCCCGTGCTCCACTGCCCCAGCTCCCTCTGCCTAAATGCCGGCGGCGACTGGGGCGGCCAAAGATCCGGCCGCCGCGGTCGCTGCCGACGAAAATGGCGCCCCCCAAATCCTAGCACCCTAGGCGACCGCCTAGGTCGCCTAAATGGTTGCACCGGCCCTGGTCCCCATTGTTGTCTCTTATAGGATGGGCACAAGAGTGAAGCTTGGCGATGACAGTCAATTCCATGCTGGAGGAATGGGGCAGCTTTCTCTCTACCAGTTACAGTACTAGAGACTATGAGGATGAGTGCCCATAATGGCCACTGTCTTCATTAGTATCTTAAGGAACTCAGCATTTCTCAGGAGGCACTCAGCACTTTGAAGGACGTGGCATAAAGAACATTACAAATACGACTCACATACACCCATTTGAGGAACAGAAATCTACACACAGAAAAAAATAGCAGAAGACAACAAAAATTCTCCTACCAGCTAGTGCATAATGTATCAGAGTACTGCAGATGAAGTTCTGTATTAACACCTCGGCAACAGTGTGGCTGTCATCAGTTTTGAGTGGTTAAAATTGTCTTATTATAACTGAATAAATACCAAAAATAACAGAACAACAAAATTGTCTGGTTGGTTTTTAAAGAAGTTTTTAACATGATACTGCTGTTTTAGTTTCAGATAAGAATCTCCCCCAATCTACTGCAGGGCACAATTCCTGATAGATTTGATTTCAAATCTCAATCTTAATATTTCTGAGCTTCATAAACACAACATTATAACTGTCACCAACATATCTCTACCAGAAGGCTCATAAGCAAAGTTCTCAACGGAAGTAGCTCAATCCCTTTATTTTTTTAAACAGGATTATCAGATCTGTCCAAGATTTAAATATGGAATTTTAAAGGAAATTGTGATTCAGATCTCAATAAATCTAAAAATGAAAAATAGCCTCCTACTAAAGCCAATGCAATCATTTCTGTTTCTTGCCAGAGAGTTGCAACCGTCATGAAAATTGGAAGCTTACAACATTGGATAGCTAAAGCCTAGCTAAAGCCTAGCCCAGAAGAGGGGAAGACAATAAGCTAAAATAAAATAAAACCAACTCTAGAACTGCACTAACATAAAATCCTATTAAAATCAGACCTGGTGCTTTCCATTGAAGAACTTTTTTTTTTTTTTTTTTACTTGCTACAAGAAGCAGCTGTAACACTCATTACATTACTGCAAAGAATGACTGAGAGCAAGATACTTCCAATTTGCTTAGAAAAAATAAAAAAATTTGCAAAGAATATTCTGGATTCTGACTGTGAAACACGGGAAGCCCAGTTTTCAAAAATGGGAATCTTAACAAAATGGTCAAATCCTGCATTTGGACCCTCAAAATTGGCTCTTTGGGATATAAATGCTCTTTTCAGCAGACCCATGTGACTGAGCCTCGAAGTTCAGATTCGGATCCAAACTGCCCCTTAGCTTGAGAGGATTCCAATCTGGTGTTCTGGTTCAGGCCTCTCTCTCGGCTTTTTATATCCTGAGGTGCTAATGCGAATATCCAAATGCACAACTTGGACATCCTTCTCCTATTTAAACTGCCATGTATGAAAACTTTCAAGTACTAGAATTCTCTTTGCTACCACATACTTGAGGAAGAGTGAGGAAAGAGGAGGAGGAATGGGTCTCTTTATATCTATATCTACGTACACACACATTATAGGAGGAGCTGGTAGAAACCTCTATATTTAGCCTAACACTTTCCCGTATGAAGGATTCTTGCAACCATTCCTGTGAGAAACTCTCACACCATTGTTTGCAGCAGGCCTTTGATATTGGGCAGGTGGAATGTGCTCATGCTAGAGAAGCACTTTTTCATTGTCTCGAGAAATTCTGTTCATTTTTTGCTGAGGTATAAACTGTTAAAAATTCCTGTTTCTCTTCTCTTGATTGCGTTCCTCAGGAAAAATGTTGGCAGACTGCCAGAATAATAACTGCATGCACAAATTCTAAGGCCAGGCTCATGTCAGCATCAAAGCAGCAGCAACAGGAATATCTGGGAGCTGCCAGAGCAGCTATAGTGGGCTAGGAAAGGGTCCCCCCATCCCCAGACCTGGCTCATGGGCCCAGTGGCCTCTGCCCTCTTCTGAGAGTACCAACATAGGGCAAGGTTTCTTCACCTCATACTGCAATCTCACCACTCAGGCTGAACACCTGTTCCCTAGCAGCCAGCCCCCTGTCCCTCTGCGGAGATGGAGTTGCAGATCCTCTAACTCCCAAAGGTAGGGAATAGGAAACAAAACAGAAAAACTGCACACAAGATCAACCACCATCCGAACCCACCATAGTCCACCCCACCCTCTGTGGGCACCAAGTGGGGCAGGAGCTACGCCAATTCCTAGTGGGGGCTAGAGAAAGAGGGAAGAGAGCCAGGCCAGGCTCGGATCTCCCTTCACAAACCAGCCTTCTGCTGCTTACAGCCCATGTAGTTAGTTCTGAAGATCCAGCAGTAGCAATTTGTACTGCAATGCTAACAGTTCAGTCGAAACGCTGATGATGATGATGATGGGGGAGGGATGGTTACAGTCACACATGATAGAACCTTTTTCCTTTTAAAACAACCTTGAAAATTACATTTAAAGCTATATTAAAAGAAAGGTATTTAGTTTTCAGACTCAAGCACTCAAAAGTTAGGAAGTGTTAGATTTGCACTTGCTTGCGCAATTTTAATTCCAGCGTCCTTGTGCGTACGCGTTGTGGGGAAATAGAGCAGGGGGGCCTTCTTTTTGATAGCCAGAGCTGTGGATCTGAAGGCCCCGAAATAAACCCTCCAACAGAGATCTGTTATGCTGATGGCCTTTACACAGAGTAGGGCAGGCCTAAAGCCTGAGCTAGACTAGGTCAAGGGTCATGTCCAGAGGAGGGAGGAAGGAGGAAGGAAAGAAACACAGAATAATGCTAAAAGCTACAGAAAGACTGCTTTAGCAATATAATAACCGCAAGTTTATGAAATACATTAAGAAATTGCTTTTGCAAAGAGCTAATCACTCTTGCAGTTGTAGCTATCTGCAAATTCTCCAATTCCAGCTATCTGCAAATTAACCAATGTTAGCTCTCCTTTAAGCGTCCCCTGGAAACCCCCCTTAAACCTTTACCGAAATCCCCCGGAAAATGACATGTACCAAGTCTTAAGACATGTACCCAAGCTAGGGCCGAGCACCACCCCTGCGGAAACCACTGAACGCCCCTCTACCCACATAAACACCCACTTCTCGGGAAATTAAGAAAGAAGGCGGGGGGGGGGAGGACAGACCCCAACCCCAGCTTCTTAGCTCGTGATCAACCCATGCCCGGCTTGTGACTAACCCCAAATTTCCTAACTTATGACGTATTGTTTGTACCTTGCTTGTGGTTTGATGGAATAAAAGCCCGCCTGCGTGTGGGGCTCGGTGTGTTGGTCTCCGGACTACACCCCAGTGCACTGGTTTGTATGTCAATAAACTGGCCTCAGGCTTGAGTCTTTGAACTAAAATGACTGCGTGGGGGTCTTTGACCACGACAGCGTTATGATACAGTCTTTAATTACATATTCATCTATTACTTTTTCCACAAGATGCTTGCTTCATTCAGTGCACAGGACGTACAAGGGGGCAGAATTAAGGCTGCACAGGCAGCTGTAAACCTAGTATTTCCTACGTTTCAAGTGCTTGACTTTGCAACCTAAATAATGTTCTTTTAATACAGATTTTTTAATATTACTCGTGTGCGTGTTTTATCTTCTTATTTCGGTTTGTGAAAACATAGCTTCCTTTTATCCCTAAAGAGAGTGTTAGCCCTCCAAGGACCCCTTTCAAAAAATAAATAACAAATTTACTGTATGAAAATACAACTAATTTCAAAACTTTTAGACTCTGCACAGTCCAAGCTGCTGAGATGCACAGTACCATTGTGTATTGTCTCCCGTTCTCTTTAACATAGATATGCTTCCTCTTCTCTTGGTTACTTGCCAATATAACCTAACCCACTGGTGCCTGGTCCATGTGTCACTATCAGAGTTCATGTGTAATCCAGCCTGCTGCTAGCCACTACTGATAATTTGATTCCCAAGGCTGTTGAAAGTGACCAGAAAAGGAGGTCTGAGACATGGAGGAAGTGAGGGGGTA